CCTCGATCGTAGATCGAGTAACGAATTTTACGCCCAATCAATGTTAGCCTTTATGCTGGATTGATTATGAAGTGTTATGTTGTACAATTGAAATTTTCTTCTTCAGAGCCCCGCCCCTCCTTTATATAGTCAGAGGCCGTAGTCCTAGTTGATTTACAATGAGATTTCTTAGTATGATTACTTAATAGTTCTATTACTAAGACTACATGGAAGAATCCTAGTTGAATTAAATTTTCTCTCCTCATGGGTATTCGTGGGTCCCACATCGACAATCGATTTGATATAAGAGAAAAATACTGTTCTAACTAAAAGATACTGTTTATACGAGTGGACTGGTCAGCACCGGCCAGCCAGCCCAGCGACCACGCTGAATACACCTACACCCACTCTCTTAAAAAATAGAATAAAATAAAATATAGTACAATGGTCACTGCTGTACCTGAACCCTAAAGGCCTAAACGGAAGATTTTCAGTGAACTAAATGCCTATTTTTTAGCCCACAAAATCCATTTTTTCCCCTGCGAGGGGAACTCGAACTAGTACCCTTTTCTTGTTCTCTTTTTTCCCCTGTAGCAAAACGGCCAAAAAGATATAATTAAATTCCATCCATTCTCTATTTAAAAAGAAAATAAATTACATCCATTTTTTTAGTCTCATTGCACCCATTTTTTACATGACATGACAAAGTAGTAAAAAGGCTGCTCCAATAAAAAGATGCAAATGCATTGCCGTAACTTTTTAAATTCCCTTGGAAGAAAGCAAAGCATGTCGGGGGAGACTTTCGGGGCTGCATGCTAAGCGCCATTGTTAATCCAAAAGAAAAGAAAAGACTCGAACACTCTCTCACTCCCACACTGCACGCCTCCGTCCCCTCCCCGTCGCCTTTCGCCGCCGTCTTTTGCTCTAACACTTATTCTTTCATTGCTCCGAGTTCTTCGCCTGGTTTTGGGGCAAGGTGAGCTGCTCCTTTCGTCATTCCCCTGGGAAAATTTCCGTTTGCTTCCCCTTTTCCTTCTCGGTCTGGCCAGGCCTTCTGACGGCTCACCTTTTCGCAGGCCAAGAAAAGGTGGCGATTTCATTTCCTGCCCGTCGTCTCCAATCTCTCTCCCCACCAAATTTCTGATTTTCCGACGCCGCAAACCTCCGCAGCTCCATTCCAGTTGGGCGCTGAAGAAAGGAAGGAAGCGAGGCCGGCTGTTTCGCTGAAACCCCGCTGCCTTTTTTTTTTTTCTGGACCAAGGTCCGATCGAAGAATCGTAGCAGATTGGGGGGAGGGAGCAGCGGCGGCGACCGGTCGGTATGATTCACCTGCTGTTCCTCGTGCTGTTCGCGGAGGGCGCGGTGGCGCTGCTCCTCATGGTGAAGGTCGGCCCGCTGCGGGAGCTGGCGATGCGCGGCGTGGACCAGGTGAAGACGGGCAAGGGCCCGGCCACCGTCAAGACGCTGGCGTGCACGCTCTCGGTCATCCTCATGTCCAACGTCGCCAGCATCCTCAAGATCCAGAATAGGGGGTTCAAGCTCGGCACCGTCAGCCCCATGGACCAGGTGCTCTGGAGGACGCACCTTCTCGAGGCATCCCTCATCGGTGAGCATTCCGACTCCGTCCGTCCTTGGTTATTCCTAACTCGCGGCTTAATGTCAGTAGCTTAGCATTGCCAAGTGGTTTTTTTAGAAAGATTATTAATGGGCTAGTGGTATGGATGCTTTGATGCAGTAGTGATTGGCTGATTGTTGCTCAAATGCGTAGGTGGTAGACAAGGTAGAAATCTAACACCTAATGTTTCTTGATTCAGTTGCCAATTTAGAGCTCATTCTCGAAGGGCAGAAATTGCAGGCTCTGTGATCCACATTTTGGATTGGACCCAAGGTCTTGCCTAGTCTGAAATCTAGAATGCTAGGGTCTTACTTTACCATTAAGGATTACTGCTTTTATAAACACTATTTAGTAGTAGCAGTAGACAGTGGTCACCTCCTTTGTTTACCTGGATAGTCAACTGTTCAAGAATAGTAGGTTATAATAGTCTATTAGAATATTATAAGAACTCCCATTGGGTTGCATTGCAATGACTTGTTGTTTCTTGCTCCCATTGTAGTAATAATTTTTTATCTTCAGTCATTGTTTCGTTTTGTTGGAATTTAACTATAGTCGTTTTAGCTGAAAATGAAATTAAGCTATCCTTACCCTCCAAAGGAAAATATGTTATCCAGTGGCAAATTTGTTTTTGCTTTAGTGCAATACATCAAGTAGCATCTTTGTACAAGTTCTTGGTATGGATGACTTCCTGCTTACTGTCAGTTCCAAGTTTTCTAGGGTGTCTGATAAAGATTTAAGACTTGAAATGTTGTCTTTGAAATAGCAGGCTAGAATAAGGACATGAGTTTGTATGTAGAATATAGGAAGGGTACTGTCTTACTCAGTAATGTTAAGGAGATGCCAGATAAGGTGAGTTCTCAATGTAACGTTTGTCCCCCAAACCAAATCTACACCCTTTGTAATTACTCTAGTACTGTTTGCTTTAGTTAGTGATCTCAGTTAAGTACCGCTTTGGCACGTTTGGGTTAGTAATCTCAGTTATAACTTACTTTTTAAGAATTATGATGCGCAAGCTAAAAAAGTTTGGCGTTTGGGGGGAATTAATAGAGAAGCTTCAGTGTTGGTTTTGAGAATCTGTTTCATACGTGACAATTTAGGATCTGCTAAAATAATACAAAAGAGAAAATCGGTATAGTAATTGTAGTAGTAATAATAACAGCAAAAGGGGACTGATAGCTTAGGTCATGGTTCGGACACGTGGATTGTCGATTTCCATTCACTTATATCCAAAGCTGGTTGGTGACTTAAGATTATTTTGATATATTTGTATGTATTCCAAATGCTAAGGCATGGAATAAAATTTCTACCTGTTTATGGGGATACTGTGCTTATTTAGCTACCGATCCGGAGTAAGGAGGTTAATTTTGTAACGGACTGTTTTTTTCCTCTCTTAAATACAAAGATACGCAACTCTCCTGCGTATTTGAGAAAAAAAAATTAGAGTTGATATTGGTGTATTTAGTTGTGAAGTTGTAGATCCACAGGGTACAAGTGTACAATTGTAAAGGTAGATTGTCTGCATGTTCAGATATTAATTCACAAATTGCACTTATGACCAATGCTCCAGCACACAAGCGGGTCCATGGCAATAAAGTGACTGACAGCATGGTTTAAGCAGAATACTCTCTGGCTTTTTTGAAGCTGTTGGTTCAATATAGTCTTCTCTTTCTTTACTTTTCCTTTTTTAACTTTTCGTTTATCATAGAGATCATACCTAAAATGGCAAAAGTAGGCCTCAGAGGATATTTGAAGTTACCATTGAACCTATACTTTGATGGGGATGTCGAACATATACATTTTTAGCTCTACACAGTGTTGTTTTCCCTTTCTGAAAAGTAACGTATAATCTCTTTAATAATTAAATCTGGCATTTTGTTTCTCATACATTTTCTTGCTCCTTGTAGGATACACTCTATTCCTTGCATTTGTAATTGACCGGTTACACCACTACCTCCGAAAGCTGATGACACTGAGGAAAACATCCAGCACATCCAGAGAGGAGGTTGAGAAACTTCAGATGGAGAACCGGTCCCTCCGTGAAAAGGAGGAGAAATCCTCCAGCGAAACGAAGAAGCTTCAGCGAGAGATTGCGAAGCTGAATGAGAGCATGAAGAAGCTGAAATCTGAGACGGAAGAGCATGAGAGGAAGGCATCGGTAGCAGAGGCCCATGTCAACGCTCTGCAGAAGCAGTCGGAGGAGCTGCTCCTGGAGTACGACCGGTTGCTGGAAGACAACCAGATTCTGCAGACTCAGCTACTTAGCAGAGGCTAAGCCATAAGCTGGGACATGCAGCTTCAGTTGTTTGTTAGCGAGACTCTTACCAGATGGCGTCAGATAGCCAAGGACTTGCCCGGTTCTGAATGATTACATGCCGTGGTTCTAAATTTCGGCTTGTCCATGTGATTCTTGACGTCCATGTTGTTCTTAACTTATGATCTTGTTGATGTATGGATGCAGCGTGTATTTTAGAGTTTCTGTTTCTTCCTTTTTTTTGATGGATGGAGGTACATGATGTAAGAACTAGGAACGATGGGACGTACTCGAGGAATTTGGTAGTGAAGGCACCCAGAATGTGCTTGAAAAAATTGGAGTGGCATGTTAGGCAGGTTGTGATTTGAGAACGAAGAGGAGCTGTGTCCTGAAATTGAACCGTGAATGAACTAAACTGGCCTGAAAAAACGACTGAACTTTTGAATTTAGCAGAAAAGTCAATTGTCGTACTTCTGAATTTTGAATCTGTCCAACCGTGGATGGACGGCCACTGCTCTGGCCTCCACAAAGTTTTGACCATATCCAGCAGCCCTATTCTCCTTTCTATAGTGCACAAAGGAGTCGACACTGTTGAAGAAAAAAAAAACTTCACCAGCTACTAGTTTATTTTGAGGAAAAAATAAGATCAAAATGTATCTCCTGCTATAGTGCCCAAAGGAGCCGGAACCATCCAGAGCTTCACCGAATAGGGCCAAAGTCAATGTTATGGCTTCGTGCCAAGGGGAACAATGCTGTGTACATCAGCTCTCCTTTCAAGTGAAAGGAAAAAACCACAAGCGCCCTGATCGTTTGGGCTTGTTTAGCTGATAAGTCATAGTTGAAAGTACGGTTAGCTGATTTGGTGTGAGAGAAAAATACTGTTCGTTGACTGAAAAATACGACTTATAAGCCAAACAAGCCCAAGCGAACAGGGCGAAGATTTGCTCAAACAATTACAGTTCGCTATATGCGTCCTGATACTGCAATTGTCAGCTGCTAATCAGGTGGTCCAAAGCCAAGAATGCATCTTTCGCAAGGCATTTACAGGAGCTCCTGCTCAACCAAAAAAATGAGTAAAGACAACTTAAGCTGCTGTAGAACAGCAGCGTAGTTACAAGCTGTGATAATCAACACTGACTACTGCTGTGGCCCGAGTCATATGAACTGCTTCAAGAATTCAGTCGCCACTAGCCGGCCACGAGTGTTTACTGACAGCTTCAGCTCACTGATCTCCTTGTCAATATCCTGGGGTTCATGTAAGTAGAATGATGTGAGTATGAGTAGTAGTACGCATATATGCGCCAACATACAATGTTGCATCTATCAACCAACAGTGTTTTTCAGCGAACCAACAGTGTTTTCCTCTCACAGCATTTCAGCATAAGCATCAGTATAAGCCAAATTTCAGCGAACCGAACAGGGCAAGTGTAAAAGCAACAAACTAAAAGCCATGCCTATGCTTATGCATGTCAACTTACCTCCATAAATTGCACGATGAAATCTATGAGCTTGTGCTTATGCATGTCCTCACAATGGTAGTTTGTTATTAGGAAACTGATATCATAACCCTGAAACATAAGGCATATACTTAGTCATGCCAGTTCAGTCGTAAACAATTTGGATTTCCAAAGGGATGAGCAGTTATGTTGATAAAACTGATCTCTATGTGGGAATATGGCAAGATAGGGAGAGAGAAAAATCTAGTACAACAAAGGTCAGCAAAAATATGGTCCATCATCCAGTTGTTCACAATGATGTATCCCTGTGCCTTACAGATAGTTCATGTTTACTAGGACCTACTGGAGACATAAAACACTACTCAAGGTAATCAGTGTAAGTTGGAAACTGTAATACCTGAACTGGTTTTCTCCTCAACACTTGGAATGCCTCTGCCCTCATTGACAAAAACCTAAGGAACTTCTTGGCAAGAATGTTCTCCAATTCATCTGCCTGCTTAACCTGTCAGATCAATCGGAAGCTATGAATATATACCAGATGGCAAATGGTTGCATGACAAAACATATTAAACATATGCAGATGCAACATATGTGAGCAGGCACCAAACATTGCGCCATTGGGTCCACCTTTTAAGTTTGTATCAGGAATATTTTCTAACAATTTTGTTACCAAAGTATACATTTGTAACACAAACAAATCACAGTAGCGTCCAAATAATACGTCAAATGTATAGCAGCACTGATACCCCAATAACCATTGAAACATCCAACAAAGTTCTCCATAGTACCTTCATGCTTATACGTATAGAGTTGATTGAAGTCTCTATCAAGCATTTTTCTGCTTCATTGCGGCATATCAGTACCTGTAGATAAATATAGGAGTGTGAGTCACAATTCTCAAAATATTAACAAAACTTATAAATCTCTTCCAAATAAGCATAAGAGATCATGCAAGTTACATCTACAAGCAAACAGATAATTAATTGGTTTGGCAACAACAACCAACTTATCTTAAGTGGTATCTTACAACAACAACAACAACAACAAAGCCTTTTAATCCCAAACAAGTTGGGGTAGGCATCTTAAGTGGTATCTTGGTAAAAAAAAAATGTTCCAACCAACATTGACGACCTTTTTTCTCACAAAAAACGTAAATCATTGAAAATTCCATGGCAGGTCAAAAGAAGATCCAGCATTGAGTAATCAATCTTAAATTTACTTAGGCATGTTAAATATGAAACAGAGCTGTTCGGGATTCTTAGCACAGTATCATAAGAGCGCACTTGTTCCAACTAAAAATGGCAGCACTGCAATCATTAGTTCTCCGTTTTTTGCATAGTTGGGTGTAGTTAGCTCATACATATTAGAACACATGGTTTCCAAAAAGAAAACGAAGGTCAATAATGAAGGATTGTAAACTGAATTTAAGATACTGTCAAAGAAGTCTCCCTCACCGGAATCAGCAGAAGTTCAGGGCTTGTCCTGTGAATAAGAATAAAAACGAAGATGGATTAGTAAGGGCAAAACAATGTATACCCACGAGCCTTTAGGAAATTGACAAGCAGAAAAAGAATTTGTGTTATTATTTATAGGAGTGAACATGGAATGGGGTATGAATTATGAAGCTTAAGAGTTCTTAGTTCCAGAGGAAAAATAAAGACAGAGGCATCATAAAAAATAAATGGACAATAGGCATGCTTTTCTCTTAGCTTTTGCAATCTGCACTCTATGAAGTTAATCAGTTACGCATAGGTCTAGCATTGCATGTTAAGGTCCATGGAGGCAAAACATCAACTCAAACTCCCAAAGTACATCAGAGCCCAGAAATACACCAAAGATGAAAAGAAAGAGAAGTGTGTTTTTCGTAACGTAACGTGGCACCGGCGACGGTTTCCTGCATGGAATCCTGGTTCTGAAACTGGCTACCATTGTACTAACAACTGTTTGGAGCCCTGGTCTTAATCAAATCACATGTGCCAAAAAAACAAGAGCACTGAACAATCATTATTGCCTGCCTGCAGCATGACTTACTTGAGCTCCACCTCTGGTTTGTTGTGCCTCTCCACTTCTTGGCAAGGGAAATTCTGGTACCAAAACAAAAAGACAAACCAACCAATGTTATGCCTCGTGATGAACTGGGAGCAGCAGCAGGAGCCTCATAGCTGAAGCGGTAAAAAAAACCTGGAGGCACATCGCCGCCTCCAGAGTGTTCCGGATGCAGGTGAGGTACAACCGCAGCGTATTGGCCTGCGAGAAGAGAGAGACGCTCATTAGCATTTTGCGATGTCGATGTCTAGCACACACCGAAATGAAGCGCAGAACAGCCGATCCCGACGCATACAGCCAGGGGTGCACCCAGTAAAGGACATGGATACACCCGATGATTTTTGCAAGAAATCGAAGCTATAGCAGGCGTAATACTAATGGTGACACGCTACACTTCAATTACGGAGATCAGATCCGCATATCCAAATAACCAAATAGCTTAAGTTAGGGTTTGGGGTGCTCCGTTCCGCGCAGAAGGCAGGGGAGGGAGGAGGGCATACCTGGTGGGTGCTCATCGCCGGCGAAGGGCCCGAGGAAGACCTGGCGCCTGGCGTATGGCGGCCGCGGCGGTGGCCCAGTCGTCGCCGGGAGAGAGATCACGTGGGACTGGGGGAGTGAACGGGAGAAAAGCAGGTGTGATGCGTGAACGCACGGGTCTTTTCCTGGGCCGTTTTTCATGGGCCGTTTTTTTTTGCACCTATTGCGCTTTTTTTTTTTTGGCAAAATCAGCCATGGAGATACCCAGCCCAACTTCATCCGTCCTATTGACAAAATCACCACTAGACACTAGTCCTCACTGTCTATGGGCATTATCATCTACAACTGGACAAGTAGTCATTACTCACTCCATCCTAAAATATGTTGATGGGTATTATCGTCTACCACTAGACAAATAGTCATTACTAAATACTATAGCAAATCCAGAAATACAATAACAAATTCAGAAAAATATAGGCTTGTCCTGGTTAACCAGGTGAACAAGTTCCACCGCATCGCAAATTACACTTTCTTTTTTCTTTGTCCTGGAGCAGGCTAGGTGACAACCAGATGATTTTTTTAGCTCAGTATACTCAACTAGATTTCTGACCAATCATACAGTGCAATTTATGAAAACAGGACCATTTACTAAAATAAAATCTGCAGATAGGGAATTAGGGATAGCGCCTTGCTAAGTTGGGAGCCTCCAGCTAAACTCCAGTACTTGCAAGTTGCAATGAGCAGCAACTCAATCCGCACATCATCACAAGTTTCAAAGGGAAGCTTTGCACCAGCAAAACGAATAAGATTGGAATTTTGCAGCATCCTACATTCCTACTGGAATATGAGAAACCCATCCAGTGGCTTCCTATTACAGACTGCACAACTGTTGTTCCTAGAACTAGGAGACATAGGGAAGTGGAGCTGATTACAAGTAGCTGAGCAAGTCCACTCAGCCCAAAGGCAATTGAGGAAATGGAATACACCGGGCAAAAGAAAAGTAGTCGTCTAATTACAGAGAGACCACAAGAGTAGGCGGCACCTTTTACCCCGGAAACCTAGACAGCCTCTTCCTCTTCTTGCTCTTCTTTGGGGTCAAGTCCTTCTGCAAACTGCCGTTAGAATGAGGAAGAAGTAACGGGCTTGCGCGCTTGGCGGCTACTCTTCTCCCTCTCTTTTTTGTCCATTGAATCGGCAATTTCCCTGCAACTTGGGCAATACCACCGGAGGTGGCAAGCTCGGCTACATGTTTGATCTTCTCCTGCATCTGCATGACCCATGCTACCGAGAGGTCGAGCGAGAACGAATCATCCAATGGTTTTTGCCACAGATCAAGTAGGACATGCTGAAATGACTGGAATGTCAGTGAGGGCTGAAAATCCTTGCGTGCTCCGCACATCATGTTGACCTTTAGCACATGCTTGCATAGGTTACCCTGCATTGACCATGAGCAATCGCAGAGAGAGAATTCAGAACCGGGATTCCATATAGTCCATGTCTGACTGGTATCCTTCTGGCTGACCACTCTGGCTAAAAGAGGCGCTTTGTCATCAAAGGTCACAGCATCATCAGGTATCTGCAATGCCCTTTGCCATGACGTGGATGCAATATAGTCTGCTTTCACCTCAGGAAATGATCCGCTTTCGTCTGCAAATAAGTTGATCCAGTAGCTCGAATGCAGCTCTGTTGTGAGCTTATGCACTAACCAGTCAACCCGTTGAAGAGCATCCAGCTGCGCATCATCGTATGCTTTTACCTTCAGCTTTAGATGGTAACCTTCAATGGCACCGCATGATTCCTGACTTGCCAGTGGCAGATTTCTGATGGAGTCAATCCACATCTCTATCAAGAAGGAATGTCATTAGCATGTACAAGAGGGATTTGCATGACAAGCTATATTACTAAATTACTAGTTGAAATTCTTACCCAATTTGGGAACCCAAAATGATTTGAAATATTTTATGAACGTTGTTTGATCAACAAAGTCTTGAAACAATTGCCCTAGGGCATCCATGGGGTTTTTCTCACTCCAGATACTGTATATGATTTTGCCAAGTTGGATAAAAATTTCCCGCTGCACCTCAACATTGCTGCATTTCTTGATTACATTTTTAAGCCAGGTCCTTCTGATGTGCCACATAGAGAACAAAACTGGGCAGGCGAATACCTCCCTGAAACAAGGACAACAAACTATTGTAGCAACGACACATTTACCTCAATGGGAATGCACTGCTGTCTACAGCTTAAATGATTAGGGGTTGATACTCACAACTAAAATTACAAACCAATGCCATACCTGATTGGACCCAGCTCTGAAGCCGGGTCGTCAATAATAAAACCACCAATTCTCCAGGTGGAATCTATAGAATGTATTCGATCAGTAAGTGCCCTCATCCATTTCAGTGTGTCCTTGTTAGTAACTGAGCGGGTTATGACCCATGCAACAGGAAGAGCATGCTGCCTTGAGTCAAATACAAGGAGCGTGTGCAACGGATACTGCCACGGAGAGTAAAATGTGAAAGAAAACATGACATTTCAATCAAAATATAGAAGACTGATCTGAAATTATATTTGCATAACTATTCGAAATGGAGGCAAGGAAGATACCTTTAGCTTGCTTACACCAAATGAGGAATGAGAAGCCAAAAGACTCTGATGACCAAAGCGCATCATTTGCTGCAATTGCCATTCTGTCTGAATCCCCAGGATGAAGGCATCTGCCTCAGTTGAATCCTGGTAGAAGAATACAGATTTCTTATTCCTGTCGACCCACATCCTGATGCTAGCTTGGTCATCCAGATCCAACTCATGTGTCGATCTCTTGATGATCATCCCTAGTTTCTGGACATACTGCGAAGCAAGGTTATCAACCTGGGCATCCGCGCTACAGTAGCGCTGTATGCCTTCTATATGCGTCTGCAGTATGTTCTCTTCTGGGACACCAAGGTAGATCAATGACATGGTCTGCTGCTGGATTTCACTTCCAATGTAGGGCATTTTCCTAGCGCCAGGCCCGATGGCATCCCTGTCAAGGGGCCCGTGGCATATGAAGCCGGACTTGTTAACATGGAGCCTCTCGTGGTAGATGATGAGCAACAGGGAAGGGCGGGCATAGAGCCTCTTGACGGTGAAATGGCAGGTGCAGCCACGCATCGACTGCGGGCGCGCGGCACGGTTCCTCGTGTTGAGCCTGTACTTTCTGCTAGGCAAGATTGTCCCTCCCTCCCCATAATTCTCAGGGCCAAAGGAGCACCAATACCTGGAATTAGCTCTAACACAGGTCAAGATCGGTTGGCTCTAGGAAGCGGCGGTGAGAAAGAACCATCGAGGGGGAGTCAAAAAGGAGTGTGCTGAGCAGAGCAGGGCAGGGAAGACGTACATCCTGTAGAGGAGGTACTCGTCGCTCCGGTACTCCCTGAGGCTGCCCCTCTCACGCTTGCGGCCGCGCTCGATGTGGAATCGCGTGGGGCACTCGGGGTTGTTGCTCTCGCCGCCGATGAAGGCCTCCATCCGGTCGTAGGGGATGAGGGCGACGTCGTCCCGGTGGTGCTCGGAGCTGGCGTACTTGACCCAGGTGAGGTCAGCAGCGGAGAACTCCTCTCCTGGCGGGTCCTGAACCGGGAGGTCGCTTACCGACTGCACCACCTCCTTCTCCGCCACCTCCGTCTCCTGCCCCATCCTCTTTCAATTTGGCCAACCGCGGCTGGCGAGATTGATCTTGCGCGCTGAAGAACCAGGGGCGGACTTGGGTCAGGGTTTGGATGCTCGGTTTCGCACAGCGGGGAGGGAACGTAAGGTAGGAGAAGGGGTGCGCGTACCTGGTGGGGGCTCGTCGCCGGCGAAGGACTGGGCACCTGGCGACTGGCGTAGGGCGGCGGCGGCGGTAGCCCAGTCTGTCGCCGAGAGGTGGGAAGAGGAGGTGAACGGGAGAAGAGAAGGCTTGCCTGGGCCTGGGCCTGGGCCTGATCCTGGGGCACGAGAAAGATGTTTCGTTAAGGTCCAGTAGAAATTTACGTGGGCCTGGAACAGGCTTAGATGCTTTCATTGGTCTGATTGAACCGTGTCTAAGACACTCCCTAGTCCTCAAATATAATAGATTCTGAGAACCGAGCAGCGCTTGCTCGGATGGCTAGCACAGCCGGTGGGCATGCAGCCGGCGCGAGTTCGTTTCCAGAATCGCACTCGCGCCTCTCGCCAGGGTTAAAAAAAAAAAATCTGTTGCCCCTCGTGTGGAGCCGACGCGCCCCGTCGCCTATGGGTCTATGTTTGGACCCGATGATCTCACAAAGGACGTGATCTAGTGATACTGAGTATAGTTGTAGGTTTGTTTGTTTATGCGTGATGTGAGTGTGGTGTGCGTGTGTAGGGTTGGTGTGAGTCTGTACATGAGCAGATACTACAGCTGTACCCAGATGAGAGGCACCCAAAAACATAATAGATTCTAAGTTGTCTTAACTTAAAACGTTTCAGATTTTATTAATTTTGTAACGGTTGGTTTAGGGCGTCGGACGAACCAACCCCTGAGCACGCGTGATGTCCAAGAAAAAAGCGGCGCAGCCAGGCGGGGCCCGCACCGGTCCTTTTCTGTGGGGCAGTGCTTGGGAGTGTGTGCGGCCACTCATTCAGCGTGGGGTGCATGCGGCGCGGGGCAGAACATGAGAGCTCGTGCGACCACTTGTTCAGCGTGGGCGTGGGGTAGCGCATGCGGCCTCACCCCGCGTGGGGTGCATGTAGCGTGTGGGGGCCTGTGCATACGCTGTGACCAGAGAGAGAAGGAGCACGGGCCCCGCATACTCCATGACATTGAGCTCCATATGTTTCATGCGTTTAGATGTATGTTTCATATGTTTCATCCGAATGTTGTATGTGTTTCTTCTAGATATTGCATATGTTGCAATGGCTATACACGTATGTTGCAAGTGTATGTTTCAAATATTTTATCTATTTTAGACGTATGTTGCAAGTGTTTATTTGGATGATGTGTATGTTTCAGTGGCTATATACGTATGTTGCAAGCGTCTATTATGTTTCATCTGTTTCAGACATATGTTACAAGTGTTTTATCTGGATATTGCATATGTTGCAGTTGCTATACAAATATGTTGCAAGCGTATGTTGTAAATGTTTCACATGTTTCAGACGTTGTTGGAGAAGTGCTTCATGTTGCAACATTAACGGTCGTAGGAATCGGGCACATGCGGAGGCGGTCCCCACGGGCGTGGCAAAGGAAGCGAACGTGGGTGGTCCCCACCTGCATGCGCATCAGCAGGCATGAGGCGAGTATCAGCAGGTATGAGGCGCACAACTGCATGCATAGGTGCACTGGCATGCGGGGGTGGGTGTGCAAGCGCAGCACATGCGAGGGGGATGGCAGGCGCAGCGGTTGCATGTGGGAGCGAACGGGCATGCGAGGCCGGCTTAGCAGCATGTGTGGCAGGCGGGAGCGGACCCGGACGTCCGGGTGCTAGCCACGCCGATTTTGTAAAAAAGTAGAGCTCGTTCTTCACGGCCAGATATTTCTATTCACCTCCATGCTCGAGCTTGTCCAGGCTACGGAGCTCAGCCATGGCGTCAACCACCCCTCCCTCCTCGTTGCATCCCTATTTTAATAAGCTAAATCGACCTCCAATCAATTTTCTGGATTCCTAATTTATTGACCAAAGCAAACTTTTTTTTCTCACTAAATTAGATCCTACAAAATAAAAACGTATTCCTAGTAAGAGATACCAGTGCAATTTAGATGGGACTATATACATAAAAATATTTTTGCGAAGGTAAAGATAAAGTCAGAATCAAGCCTCCGTTTACACTAATACAGTTGATACAAACTTGGCGCTCTTGTCTCGACTAGGTGACTAAAGTAGAACCTACTAATTGTCGAGACTCGAGAGTACTTGTGGTGCTTTAGATTTGTCCTCCACGACTTGGACTTGCAGCCAAGCAATCCAGAGTTCCAGACCTCAATATATCCATTTTCATTAGCAATTTAGTACTAATTTAATTAAAATAGTGGTGCAAAAGGCATATACACAGACGTGTTTGACTTACGACACACGAGCAAAGCAACAACATGAAACGAGATGCAAAAGTGACCACACGCGATCCAGTGGAGGTATATATATACACAAAGCGGGACACTAGGGCATTGTTTAGATTGTAATTTTTTACAACCTGGACATTGTAGCACGTTTTATTTGTATTTGATAAACTTTGTCCGATCATGGACTAACTAGGCTCAAAAGATCCATCTCGTGATTTACAACAAAACTGTGTAATTAGTTATTTTTTTTACCTACATTTAATGCTTCATGCATGCGTCCAAAAATTGATGTGATAGAAAGAGAGTGAAAAAACTTGAAATTTGAAGGTGATTTAAACAAGACCTAGCACAAATATTACTATGCTATTTGTCCACGATCCATTGCCCGATGGCCACTTCTCCACACATCAAGCACCACTCTTGGCTCTAGTGTTCAAAATCACTGCAGCTTCATCAGTACTGGACGGAAATCCGATCTGATACTTACGGAATCACGTCGGTCACCTGATGATTCTGTACAAGTTCAGAGCACAAAACCTAGAAATGAGTCTTGGGGATCAGCAATTGCGCGGCCCCTAGGGTTACACATAATAATATACTACGAAAATCACGGATCTCATTTAATGTGCAACAATCTTTCCGACGAGAAAAAGGAACCATGACAGTAAACAACATGAATCCATGTTAAAGGAAACACTACTCATTACTAAATTGTAGCTTCACAAACGGAGAGGCAAGGGGTTAAGGTCAGGTGCATGGATTTAAAATAAATAGGTATTAACAAGGCCAAACAATGATAGCCTCAAAGTGAACGACCAGCATTAGGTTATCAGGGTAGTTAGCACATTCCACGGTAGTTTTAAACCTTGCGCATGATTAGAAAAAGCCTCTGATCCAGCTCAAAGCTAGCATCACTGGAAGGGTCACCCCTGAGCGGCAGTGTTCAACATCACTACAGCTTCATCAGTCTCGTCGAAGGATTGATCCAAGCCATCCATGTACATCTTAGCCTGGAGAAAAGGTCGTTATCAGCAAACAACCTCAAGGAAACCAATGTTCTTTATGGACTAATCAAATAGGCTTTCTAGCTAGGACGTACCGCCTCACAAACTTGATCAAACTTCTCATAGATTTCCTCTATTTTCTTCCTTCCAGCTTCAGCAACCGAATCAGCTTGAGAGCATAATTCAGAACCCTGATTGGCAGACATGTCAGAAAATGTGAAAGAGGTACACAACAAAGAAAAAAGATGAAAACAGCCTACAAGGCTTTAGAAATGAAGTACTGGATGCATAGCCTATGTTTTCCTTTCTAGATTTATAGAGCCACAACTACTAATCAGGCTCGAAGGTATCAATCAAATTCAAAGGTAACATGTAAAGCAATATAAACAGGATGTGGCAACTCATGCAGTGCAATTTCGAAAGGATTCTTTTCAACAGCAGAACATCCAGGATAACAACATCACCTTGTCAATCTTTTCCTTTATTTTTCTTTGTTTCTCCTCAAGGCACTTGTGCTCCGATTCAATTTCAGATTTCAATGCAGTCATCTTCCAATTGTTCTCTCCAACTCTTTGATCCCTTTCTTTCTCCTTTGCTTTCAGTTTGGCCTCGTTCTCGAGTACTAATTGCAAGATGTTCATGCACAGTAATGTGATGATAACATTTGAACTAAGAACTGACTTGATAATACTTGAGCAATGCTAAAAATATCCTAACCTTTCATTTCCCATTCAGCAGCTTTATTGCGAAGTGCCTTTATCTCCAAATTTTGATCACTGATCTTCTCTTTGTGTGCTTTAACATCCTTCTCAGAAGCTTTAGCAGCAACACCCTAGCATGAATAATATATTTGTACAGTCATTGTTATACCAATTTGACTCAAGGGTGCAATCAGCCAAAGGAAAAAAAATCATGTGTGAAGGAAAGCTTGCCGCTATTCATACTTTTTCATGTACAGCAGAAATTTTAGAGAGATGCTTCGCTAGTTTCTCAGAAACCTGCAAAATAAAGATGCTTATCATGCAACTACATCAATGGAGTATACAGGAATAAGGTCCAGCCTCACACGAAACAAAAATAAATGTCAAATGATTCTTGTGATTTGATCATTTGAGCAATTACCCATCAGCTGTAGTAAGAAAAGAATGATCCGAGGCTGTGGGGAGAACTAAATGGGAACTCAAGATTAGCACATTTCTGTATTGTTTACAAGAAATTTATAGCATCATAAAGAGTACCTTAGTATACATCTCAAGAGTATTGGTTTTCTCTTGGACTTTCTGCATCGCCATCTTCTCTAAGCTCTTCAACTCATCACGAACTGCTTTCTTCTCCTCAAGGGTCCTCTTTGATATAGAAAATAAAAATCCATAGTTATTATGGAAGCTAGCACAAGATGAGATTATCTGATTGAAGCTCATAATTCTGATCGAAGCAATTTGACAATGTAAACACAAAATAAAACCACTCCTAGCAAATAAAGACGCAAGCACTAATGGTTCTGGGGGAAATGGACAATTTTTTAAAAGAATGCAATCTTAGATAGAGCACCCAGTGACAATTGCAATTATATGTTGAGTGAATAATTCATTCATAGTTATGCTGAACTGTGAAGAGATAAAGTCACTCCGACA